CCTTCCTTTTCTTCATCATAAAGCTTCATCAAATGGCTCTATATGATGATAATTACACTGCTGAGCGTTGGAAGAGCTTTTTTTTTGCTCATACATGTGCAGGTTTACAGAATATAAGAGGATGTAAAGTTGAAGTGTCTTTGAGATTGAAGGGAGTGTACTGCAACAGGAGAGTGAGGCTCATCCAACTTTTTGGTGAAATAAAATTGCTGGACTGATAAGAGTTGACATAGATTTATCCCAGCTGCACACAGATGCAAACTGCCTTAATGTGCAATAGAAACTGACACTGAATCTCCTTCTTAAAGTTACATTACCGCCCTTATTTCCGCAGAAACACAGCCCATAATCCACTGAATCAATCAGCAAACTAACCCAAGTGAAACATGTCTTTAAAGTGCAAACATGTCAAATCAAAACATGCACCCTAACTTATAATTTCCCATCTTTACAAGCATCTATTGGCACTCACCACTTCAATCATCTTGTTACATCTAATAGTGACTTTTAAATCGTGACCTCAGAGCACTTAAACAGACATCTAAGGATGTGATTTGCCACTTCACATCTCACTGACACACTGAGTTTGCAATATTTTAGCACCAATAACACACACACTACTTTAGCTCTCCAGCAGCAGCCTTCCAACACATTTCAGTGGACATATGAGTGTTGCTATACAGCACTCCTTACAGTCCTCACCCTCTGTATATGTTCCTATAGTTTGGCTCAGATGTGGAGATCAGAGGGCGAAAACAAGGATTACACAGACTGTGTCAAATGTAAAAGCTCCCGCGAGACTTGCAGAATATCATAATTAATGTTTGGGGCAGATTTGAAATGTAGACTCCGCCGGCCTTTAGGGCACAAAGGGAATGTGTGGAATTTCATATGCTTGCAGAAAGACCTGAAAATTGAGTTACTGCTCGAGGCCCGCACTTCCTCGGTAATATTTTCCCTCTTTGCACAATAATTACAGGCTGTGATGTAGTTTAGGAGATGGAGATGTGGAAACAGATGTAGTAGTTAGAATATATGCAAAGGAAATCATGCAATGGTGAGTTTACTGTACAGATATTGTGTATTTCCTGCAGGACTTTTATTTGCTCACACATCTGCTGCATGATGCTTGAAGTGTTTAATAAATTTAACATGTTAAATTTATTATTTTGCATGAGAGATGACAGTGGAGGCAGTCCCTGCAAATGTTGCATCCATTCTTTATGGCTTGTTCTGATAATCAATTTCTGTCTTTCTGCTTTTTTCAAACTGATGGAGGGGAGGGAGGAGGGGGTGGAAAAAAAAAAGTCCTCCTCCATCATCTCCTTCTCTCCATAACTTTGTTCCTTTCGGTCTGCAGATCAAAGGCCTCTGAAATTGGTGTCTCGAAGATGTACATTGTTGAGATGACAGGGCGACAATGCGGAGAGAAAGCGTGGTCTATCAGACATGTCAGCTCGCAGAAAGGAGAGGGAGGAGAGGGGCTGAGAAAGGCCTGGGTGTCGATTTAATATCCCAACTGGAGGAATTTGAAGCTTTTAGCTGTGGCCAAGTCTCTTCAGTGTTATTGGCCCAGTTAGCATCTGTGATCCATGTCTTTGGGGGGGAATATTTGCTAAACATGGGTGACAACAGGGTGCTAATGTACCTTAGATTGTAGGTTTTATTATTTTTGTAGAGAGGAGACACTGATTTGGAAGTCAGATTTTACGCGGGGATTTCCAGGATTGATATTGTCTCCAAACTGTGCGCGTCTTACAGGATATTTGGTGACTTTGCCATGAATTTAAAAAAAAAAAAGTCGAATCTTGCGAGAGTGAATGTCTCTTGTCTCCGCGTCCTCACACTGCACTTGGAGCGTCTTGGCGTTGCAACCTGCTGCTCCGACAAAGACTTTAATAGTTTGAAAAGCATCCGAAGTGACTGGAGCGCAGACATCCACAGAATAAATATTTGTATTCATTTGAGAAATGAGGATTTGAACAAGGAGACAAAACCCGACAAAAGGCACAAAAAACACAAGCATGAATGCGAGTATTGTCCCCCCGGCTTTGAAATTCTGATTCACCATATCATAACCCCTGCGAGGAAAAAAACATCAATATCCCCGCGGAAAGGACACGTTTCTATGGGAAACTAAAGAATTTTAGCGCATAACAGATCTGGCGCAGGAAAAGGAGGGGGAATCAAAGGGATCAAAGGCTCGGGCTCAAGGAGGCTTTTTGCGTGAAGAAAAGATGGACAATGTTGACTTTTAAGTGTTGGCAAGATTTTGGAGATCCTTTTTCTGCAGGCTGAGTCTCTGAAAGTGGCGTTAAAATCAGTGTGCAACAAAGTTTCTTCTGTGCAAACTTATTTTTTAAATAATAAACGGGTGTCTTTTTGCAGAATGGTTCATTCGTTTTTCGTTTGATCAAAGACACAAAAAGGAAAGCAACATTTTGAGACAAATAAACCCAAATTCAAAGAAGATTTACGCACAAAGATGGTGTTATTCTGCTACCTTTGATCGCCCGGGCGCACGACTCAGGACGCATTATTTTATATAACCAGGCAAAAAAAGCCCTTTCCCCTGCTTTATATGCTCAAACTGGAGTTTTTAATACATAATAAATTAAAATATATAAAATAAAGTCATGATAAACTTCCCAGCAGTATTTTTCGGCCTGTAATAAACCCTGCAGAATCCGGGAAGCTGGTGACTGAAATGTCTCAATTGTAAGGCCCACGCACATTTTTATCCATTCGCCCCTTTCAGGTACCCTGATACGCAGGCGGCATAGAAACAACACTAAAGTAAACAGGACTAACAGGAGACTAGTCCCTTTGTTGTGCCAAAGGCAGCTGCCCAGCCCTCTATTATCCCGGAGCAGACTGACCGCATCCTTCCCACTGCCCCCTCACCAACCCACTGCACAAAAAGAGAGGGATGTTCTGCTTGCATGGGTAACACTGTCGTTCCAGCCCTTAGCAGTCCTCTTACTCTCTATTGAAAGGAGTGGGAGTAGTGGACACAGCCTGATCTGCGGAGTACAAAGGCTCTCCGTAGAGTCCCATTGGAGTGAAAGGAATGAAGGGGCTGGAGATTTGTGAAAGAGGGGTCGGAAGATTTAGAGAAAGAACGGAAGTTTTGTTGTTGTGCTTGATTTCCCTTCCTAACTAGGAATGGAGTGGCTGGGTAAACCCACTTAAACTCAGTTTACTCACCTTTTAATAAGCAGAGAAGAGTTTGCTCACCTGTTTAGCCTGGCATAGATACACAGGGTATACTTTTATGTTGCATTATTATATTTAGCAGAGCTTAAACCATATTACTACTTAATTATTACCATCTAATATGCCATGAAAAAAATAACATGGTCATCTGTATCTCTGGTAAAAGGAACACATGGCTTCAGGGTGACGTCAGGTAATTTGGGACACCTAAAATTATTAAGACTACATTAAGTGTTACTTTTAGAACTTGTTATGTATCTCTGCTATATTTCCATAAAGAAAATATATTGCCAAGTAAAATACTTTAGAAACTTTGGACCTTTAAACACATCAACAACCCCTACTTCACCTTTATGACATGTTCAGGTAAAATGGGGCAGCCATGTTTGTTTTTTTAATTACTTCAATCCATTTATCAGTTTTACTATTAATCTATGAAATCATTAATATAACCTAACCAGTCATTAAAAAAGATTGTCAAACGTTTCTGCCATGCTTTCCCTGGTGTTTTGCTTCCTGTTTCCTCAGTGCCATATTATCTACAATAGACATACGCATGTGTAACAGTAATGGCTATTTTTGCACTATTGTGCATCATCTTTAATGTTTTTTAAGTGACTAAAATATAATATGACAGGGTCGCACACAGTTGCAAAATAACTCATGATTTGATGGCATGTGGGAGCCTCAAAAAATTTAGAAAAATGTCCCATTTTAGTTTAATTTTTTGTCCCATTTTACCGGAATGCATCACTCAAAACCCTTTCCCATAGAAAGTAAAGTGTATTGTGATGAATATGTTTTGATTGTAAGTCAAACAGTTTGTAAAATGTAACATCCTACAACCATTTTTTGTCCGTATACCCTTTAATATTTTTGGCTGCATCACTTTTATTACCAAAAAGAGAAAATCCCCATGCCACATAACTGACCTGGCAACTTGTGGGACTTGATTGTTTTACTCTTTGCTCTGCCCATTATAGTTATCAAAGACATATCAAAATGTTTGTTTCATGTAAAGCACATTTGTAGCAGTAAAGCAATAACATGTTTGGTGACTGCTGCTAATATTTAAAGTGCCCAAGTTGTAAAACCATTTTTGTCCCACACTACCTAACTGAAGTCAGGTAATAATCTATCTTAATTATTGTGGTTATGACCCCAAACAACATTTTCTGACCCATATATAAAATAGAATAATTTTCCACCCATTTCATCCCTCATAGCTCAGATTCCTACAAATGCTCCAATCCGGAAAACAATTCCTCAAAGTTGAGCACAAACAGTAGAATTCTGTTTAAAGGCCAAGCATTTTAATTAACAGTAATGAGGGATTATTGGACACAATTAGAAGCATTAGATATTAAATTGTTGCCTGGCAGAGATGGGAATGGGAGGCTGGTGTGCCCTCGGGGGAGTCCCATGCTGGCAGGGTTTATGTGGACACACACACTTTCAACAAGGATTGAATATGACCCTGTTGTTTCAAAATGGCCTCCTGATTTATATCCATCAAGGTTTAAAGGGCCTGTCATGTCTGCTGAAATAGAGGTGTTGACAGCCACACTTGACAGCTTCTCCCTCATACTGTTTTAATGTTGCTGTTATGGCATTGCTGTCTCATGCGCCGAACACTCGCCATGTCCCAAGCATCTTGGGCTGAGGGACAATGTGGTTTTGTCGCTCCTGTTGCTTTGACTTCCTGTCTTGGTCGTTGTGCATGCACAATGTAAAAGTTTACAAGATTTTGGAAACATGAAATGACTCTTGCTGCTACTTTTTAGGCCGTGGGTGCCATGAATGGTGACTGGGACACACTGTAAAGGGACAAGAGGGACTTTGGATTCAACTGGCTCCCTGTGCAAAGAAATGCAGTGAAGAGCAGCACAGACCAGGTATGACATTTCATATTGGAGTATCCATGTCACAGCCTGCTATAAATTGCAGGGTAAACCCAAGTGAATAAACGCTGGTTTAACACAGTGCCATGGGAGTGAAATCCTCTGAGAAATTCACACAGCCTGAGAATCCTCTTTGAAGGCACATTCCATAGGTCACAGTGCAGACACCGCACAGTCGAGCCGTTTCATCCTCATCAACATTTGTGTGGGCCGCACAGCCGCCCCGAGGCCAAAAGAAACGCGCTCGGGATTTCTCAGTCTATAGTTAGCAAAAGGCCAGCTCCTCTGGCTCCACTGAGCAGGCACAGGACTGACATCAGCAGGACCTGCTCTCTGATTGGCGCAGGGACCAAAGAGAACAACAACAAAAACAGAAAGCTGCTTGATTATGTTTCAATTTATCCTATGTGCACTATTTGAACTGTAATTGAGACTCATTCTCGGTGTACTAACACTATGCACAGCAGGACTGGCACGCATTGTGTAAATAAAGGGGACCCTATGTTTTGCTACCAGGTTATTCCAGACTCAAGCGTGTGCTATTTTAACTCTGTGTGCATACTGTGACGGTTCATGCACTTATAAAGCCTCTCGTGTTATAATTACATCATCTTGAGCCTTGTTATTCAGACACTAGCATGTGAAGCATGTAAACCCCATGGCCGGCTATATATCAGCCTGCTTTGTTTGACATTTATACACAGCCATGGTCTTGTGTAATTATGAGCTTACTGTTCTGTCAAATATTTAATGCCTTGTAAAACAGCCAGCTATTTATAATGTACAGTGAATGCTGCGATGCTATTTGTGAGAGTGGAGGAGGCAGGCGGCAGAATATAATCCTTGTGACATGTGGACAGTAAACATGATTACAGTCGTAAGTGTCTACATGTTTAAGATGCCAGCAGACACCTATAACTCATCAAACTAAAGTTTGTGCTCTAAACACAACGTCCGTATATTAAGGAGCCAAGTGGTACAAAGCATGCTGCATTTCGTGCAAGTGAAGGATGCCATTTTGCATACTTCACATGCATTTCCAGCCTGGTGCTGCTGTGATTGAGTCATGAAAATGATAGACAGTGTTGGGAGGGGAGCTCAGATGCTGTAATTAAGAAATGTAGCAATGCAACAATGTAAAAATACTCAAATACAATTGAGTTTTACACACAACACTTGACTTAAGTTAAAGAACAGAAGTATCCGCAGCATTATTTACACTAAGTTTTAAAAGTAAGAGAATTAATTTTGCAGCACGCCCCCTCAGAGCTTTATATTACTGTTTCATGTAAATGTCAGATTTAATACTGTATTTGACCCTGGAAGCGCTACTGTTACTTTATAAGCTGTTGCAATGACATATGTTTTAATTTTTTTCCTAAAATCTGTACAGTAACCAGCTTCCTGTGTATGTCAAGTTAAAAGTGCAATAGTTCACCTTCGAATTAGTGATGTAGAAGTATACAGTTGCACTTAGTGAAAAGACTTAAGCAAAGTAGAAGTGTAGCATCCCAGTATTGAACATGAAGTAGAGGTGGTTGTCTCTTGATTTTTTTTTTTTTTTTTTTAATTCATGCAATGCCACTACAACACCTGATTTTCGGCACTGATACCAAAACTTCCCATAGGTTTAAAAAACCTTACATTGAGGATGAGGGCTGGGCCATATGAAGAGAATCATATATCACGATATTTCTGACCAAATACCTCGATACTGATATTACAAAGATATTGTGGGGTTGACTATTAGAATATTTACACAATGAGATTTTTGATTAATAGTCATCAGCAATGTGGATATAAAGACGAAGCTGGTAATAGCAAATATTAGAACAGCTGCAACAGTCGTAAAACAGTTCAGAAAATCACATTACTTTACTGTAAAGCACCTTTTAAAACCAAGAACACTTTTGATATTACAATATCCAGAATCTAAGACATTATGTAGTCTCATATCGAGTTACGGATATCTTGCCCATTCCCATCGAGGAATATAGGCCTAAAATGTTTTGCTAAATATTTTTTCAATTAACAAACAAAAGCCAAATTTGAATGCAGCAAAGGAATGTAACTAAGTACATTTACTCAAGTACTGCCCTTAGGCACAAATCTGAGGTGCTTGCACTATACTGGGATATTTCCATGTTATGCCACTTTATATTTCCATGTCACTACAGTCAAGAGGAAACTTTTTACCGCACTATATTTCAGTTACTAGTTACACGACAAAGTAAGAAAACATAATATATAGAAAACATATATAAAGCTCATAAAATGATGCATTGTTTGAAATAAAACTACTCAGCAGTTGTTCAATGTTCAATGCTCAATGTTCCTTACAAATTAATACATCTGCAATAATAGTGTACTCCTGGTATAACACACATAGGGGCAATATTGCTGCAACTAGTGCTTAATATTGCAGATAATACTCATATTTTCACTGTTATTTCATTTTCAATCCAGGGCTTTTATTTGTAATGGTGTATTTTTTACAGTGTGTGAGGTGAGGACTTCCTGCACAACTGGAAATATGTTGTTTATACACAAGCAGCTGTATCAGAACCAAAATAAAATGCAGTCTCAAAGTGGCAGAGCTGTGTTTTACAGCAGTGAGAATCTGTATTACAGATTTTGATATTGGTGCTACAGACAAATTGGTCAGTACCCAATAATTATACATTACTACATGTATCTGGTTACTTTCCTACTCTGATTATCCGTAATAATGTTTAAGGCAAGTGACTTAACTGCTGCATCAATCCACATCTAAGACAGACTGTGGTCTGTGGTGGTCAGTGCGAGGGCACAGAGAAAAGTAATGCCGAACACATGGTGGCTGATTATGTTAGCTCAAAGCAGTGTCCGGCTCGACTCCTGTCAGTTTCCCACCACGGGAAACTTGACGTGTGGGAATAGAGCCTCCATGCATGGTTGCCATGCATTGGCCCTTACGTTTTGCACATGTAGGTAAACAATCCCGCCTTGTCTACTGAGAGGCCTGCGTTTATACATGGGTGCAGAACATGTGTTGCGGCCAAAGTCGCATCAAAGGTCACTAAGCTATGCTTTGAACACTTCAAAGCAGGGGGATGAGACTGTAGCTTTTAAGTTTTATGGCAGGTGTAAGCAGGGGTTGCTGACCAGCCCAGGGTGGTCTGCTCCCTGGTCAGCAAGAGGCTGCTGGTGGTTAGCGTGGTTGAGGTGGTGTGTGCAGGGCCAAGGCATCGGGGGCAGGGACACAACCGTCCGACCAGGCTGTGTCCAAAATGTCTTCATGCAGAAGGCCACATTTGGAGTCATGGATCTGAAAGGGTTTCTGGGAGCAGACTGGACACAGGCAGACGTCCACTTCAAGGGTCTCTGGTTTCAGAGGACCACAGCAGGGTACGTCTAAGGCCTGTGTCAGTCCCATTTGGAAACAGATACATTGGCAGAGAGGAGCGGAGGGGCCAAAGCCTGATGACCATACCACAGAGTGACCACAACACTGCACCCTCCCCTGACAGACTAGAAACAGACCCTGTAGCAAGTTCAAAGGATCCAAAGAGGTCTTGCCAAAGTTCATTTGCTGGAGTTCATTCATCTCAGCACCTGATGCGGTTCATTGCTTCTGCTTTTCGTGAGGCGTTTCAGTTTAAAAAGAGAGACTTCAAAGGTGCCAATGTTATTGAACGTTCTTATTCAAAATGAGCCTGCATGCAGTTAGATGTCTTTTTAACCACTGCATCACCTCCGTAACGTCTACACCCCTTGAGGTCTGTCCAATTTGCTGCTAATAATGAACAAAAATGAATTTTCAGATTTTAGTTTTCTGAGTGCAATCTTATTTCATTACTAACAGATTTATATGACGAGGAGATGGATTTGAATATTGTGACAATTTTAGTAAGGTGCATTGCAAGGTTTCAAGAGATTTCGGTCTCAAATGGATAACGCTGCAACTGACTCTGCTCACAAATATACTTGTATCCTGCCTTGAGCTGTACACGTCCATGCTCTGCAACAGAGCTCCAAATTCACACAGTCGGGTGTGCTTTAATACACCACATTATGAACATTGAAATCAACACAAAGTGGCTTAATAACTCCTCTGGTGACAGAGCCTGCTAAATTGATCATTTTGAATGCTTTACAATATCCATAATTATGCGAGCGGAATACAAGGTGCTGTGCGTCTGGTTGATGATCCTGGAATGACAGGTCTATAACAGCCCTCTCTTCTTGAGATAGTCGGAGACCCACATGCACATTGAGAAAAGCCATTACAAGCCCAGGGTGAAGCAGGTGTGTTTGCGGCACTCCACAGATGGCTGGGAGCGTTGTTAATGAGAGAATAGTAAACACCAGAAAACTTTTTATCTTTGATGCGAGATTGTTTTACCAAGTGCACAGCCCCGACTCGTCAGAGCGGTGGAATGTGAGGTCAATTCGCACATATGATTTGATTGACCCCGGCTAATAAGGTCCTGCCCACGTACTTTAGCACAGAGTTTATGGACTCACTGACACACAGAGATGGGGCCAAGTCATTGTTTTGCAATGCACAAGTCTCAAGACTTCGGACTCAAGTTCCAAGTCAAGACAGGCAAGTCCCAAGTCCTAAGCTTAGAGTTTTGAGTCCTAAACAAGTCATAAAACACTATAAAGATTTGAGTTCAAGTCAAAATGCACTCTTTGCCAAATGTAATACCATTTTAACAACAGATTAATGATCTATTAAATGTAAAAAACCACGAATGCTTTTAAAAAATTGAATTTATTTGTTACAACAAGTATGTCGGAAGTTGTTGTGTCTCTATTTGTATTTTCTGACCCGCATGTTTTGCATACTGCAGTGCCTTTTTTGTTGACCACTGCGTGGTTTTTATGCGTAAATGAAATTATCTTTGGTTTAATTTTTTACAGCTCAGTAACGTAACATCAGTGCTTCATGGTTCTCTCTTGCCACTCGACTGGATGCCCTCGGACTGGATCATCTGGGGAATTAATTG